TGGTATTATCTCACAGTTTTATCAATATCTTGATACAGACCTCCCAGTGAACCTGGGCAGACTATGGTAATCGCGTACTACATGCATTTAAAGTCTGTCTGCACTAGTTTGGCTGGGAGGGATTAGACCTCCCTGCATGGTCACTGACAGGTGGTTATCTCATCAAATCAGCTCCCAATTAACATAAGAAAAAGGGGGTCATGGGGGACCAACGGGTACCGCTTAGGGATCGTTTGCTATATAGAGGGCGCAAGTAGCTACAAGTAGTGCAGTCCCGCTTAAAGAGTATACAATGGGGCGTTGAGCCCCTCCCCCATATCTCTAACTTTCTCTCTCTCTCTCTCTCACACACTAAGTTATCTCTCTATCTGACTGTGTTTCATTTCCTCTGTCCACTTCAATTGTCTTTTTCTCCCTTTCTGATACTTGTTCTATCTGGTTAAGATGTATAACCGCATCGTTAAATCTTGTTGAATTGGTTCTTCTGTTTAGATCTCCGACCCCCCAAAAAAGTATTATATTAGAGTCTTGGTAATGTGCTAATCACAAGTGTGACATGAGCACAGTACAGGTATAAACATATTGCACATGAAGAAAATTGGAAGTCTTTAGCTATTATTGGTCACAGTCAGAATAACAGATAATTAAAGACTGCTGTATTGTAAAACATCGCCAGAAGAAAAAGACGTAGGGAGGAGGAGGGAGAGACAGAGAGAGGGAGAGAGAGAAAGGAAGAGAGATAGAGATAGAGAAAAACAGAGAGGAGCAATGAGAGACGAAGGGAGAAAGAGGAAAAGGCAGAAAGAGAGAGCAGAGAGAGAGAGAGAGAGATGGAGAGATAAAGAGAGAGAGGGATAAAGAGAGAAGGGATGGGAGTGAAAAAGAAATAGAGAGGAATGGCAAGAAATAAAGAAGTGTAGGCCCCAATTTACGTACATTTCTGAACCCAACCTTATAAATGTAAAATACAAAATGTTTCAATTAGGAAAATCTTCTATTACGGTTATAGATATCATAATCATTTTTTTTTTAAATCCTAAAGTGTCAGTTCACTGTTACCGGTTTTAATCGACGTGTTTTTCGTCTGCTCCGTAATACCGTCCACAATACCTCCCACAATGCGGTCTTTACAAACTTTAGGCGCATAATCATGACAATTGTGAAGAACTTTTCCATTATAACTCTATAACATCATTATAATCTGTCAACGTACATGTAGGTGATAGGGCTAGTACAAGCGCCATTCTGAAAGACGAAGATCCAGTGTTTAAGGTAGGCATAACTACTTAATGCTTCAATAACGTTTAGAATAAATTTAAGTGGATACATTAGAACTAATTCTTGTTGATTTTATTGTTGTTTTTCGTACATTTTGGTCAACACAACTATTTACTTATTGCTTCCTGCTTCGCAACACGCGAAGTAGCCTTATATTTCAAGTGCAACTAATAACACTGTGTGCCACAGTAGCCATATCTCCGTGTATGTATTTTGGCCGTGGGCCAAGCCTCTTTTTCGTTCGATTTCGTTAACAGTTTGCCGTGGGTTGTTTCAATTTTTTCAAAAAATAGGCTAAAAACTAACATTTACTTGTTCCGATGTTCAAATGTTGCACATCAATAAACAGCGTATATTTTGGTGCATTTCCTCACGCTTTCGTACAACTATACAAGCCGCATTGCAGCCGCATAGTGATATACATCCGCGCTGAACACGATGCATGCGAGATACACAAACAACGACACCAAATTGAACGGAGGAGCGCGAGCCCTGGTTTGGACAGCAATTAATTACTGAGAATATATGTATCAATAATATACTTGTGTGAGTCACGTGCCATCCGAAACAGTTCTAATAATGTATGAACATTTCAGAATATCCTCAAGATATCAAGGATTAAAGAAATACAGCGTGTTTGTTAAAATAAAAATAGCAAGCAGAAGTGTGCATTTCATTTCCAGCTTAGCTGTATACAAGGATCGAGCGGAGTATTAACGTACGGACGAATAATGAAATATCACCATTGATCTTCACGAATTGAAAGAACTTGTACCCTGTCGAAAGAATACGCGGTTTCACCGCGAACCTCACAATAACATTTTTATCGCTCAAAAACATTGTGTTTCCAAAATTGTTAGTTACACACAAATGCGACATAAAAGTATTGCAAAAAAATCCTAATGAATTTGAGCGGTAGCTAGGTAAAGAAAAGTACACTCATGTCATTGTTGCAACAGGTCTCTGATTCATATGCAGTAGTGAAGGGGAGGGGCTGATATAATGGCCATTTTAAAGCTCAACGTGGGAGCTTAAGTACCAAATGAATATTTACAAAAGTGAAATGGCACATCAGACAAGTGAGCAGAGAGAACTTAGATATTATAAGACTAGAAGTTTAGTTGGCTGCTCAAAATAGTAAGAGATCATCCAGTACGTTGAAACAAAATTGTGTAAAAGCCGAAATACAATGCATCGTTTGAAACAATAAAGCACTGACACACGAGGCATAGTTTAACTTACATACGACCAAAGAAGTACATGCATATGACCTGACCCATATTCCTTTCGTTAGCCAAAACTTGGTACAATGCGATTTTGACAACACTTTTTAAAGACTTTGATGCTCAGTTACCCCCTGACAGAAATGTTATGAACAGCGTATCATTAGGTAGAAAACAGATTATTCATCATCATGAAATAGATTTCAAATTCATATTGGAAATTGCTTTTTAATAACGGCTACCAAATTTGAGTACATTTTGTTATAGGCACTGTAACATGATGAAAACTTGTTTTCTTGTTCGTATTATTGGACAGGATAAAAATGGTGTGGAGGTGCGTTGCATGTAATGTATTAAGAAATGGTTTGTCATGTTTTTCACCCTCTTTTATCTTTATTTTCTCTCTTTTTTTTTCCGATTCGCCCCCGGTCCGCAACTGATTTAGTATGCACGCGTTACGCAAAGCTTGATATAGGGTGGGGTTTCCATCCCATCCTAAACGTTGTTCACCCGTTACTCCAGGACAGCCGTATATATCGTCCTTGTTTTCACGAAGTGACGGTAGTGAGGAAAATCGTAACGCAAAGTGAATGCAATTTTTTTTCACTACCGTCACTTCGTGAAAACAGCGACGATATATTGGATAAGACAGACTAATGGAGGAATAGACCAAATCTAAGTATATATATATATATATATATATATATACATCTCTCCTTTTTATGTCTTCTAATCATTTACATTCATTTCTCTTTTTCTTCTCTTTTTTTATTCCGTTGCTCTTTCGTTTCCTCGTTTTCTTAGGCCACCAGCAACCAAAAGGGGAGGGGCGATTTAGCCCCTCCTCGTTCCGCCAGTGATAAATCATTTATTTCAGTCTATAACAGGTTTTTTTTCTTTCTTAAATTGTTCGTTGAACGATGCTTTTCTACATGGCCTAACATTATTTTGTCCTTTATCATCTGAACTTCACATCAATGTAGGCATGGCAGAGGAACAAGCAGCAAGTGTCCCCATGAATAATAAAGGCAAGCAAATCCGCGGTTAATTCCTTTTTACTTAAACTACTCAAAATATGATTGGAAAATGATCAGGAAAAGAAAACATGGGGAAAATAACAAAACTTTAAATCAGCTAAGCAAAACAAGAACGAAAGAGAAGATAAGAAGGAGAAGAAGAGGGATATTAGGTGGAGAAATAAGAATATTAATAATAATAATAATAATAATCGTCAACATCATCATCATTCAAAAAATAATGATAATCATAATAAAGATAATAATAATGATAAAAATAATGATAATAGTAACAATAATAATAACAAGGGCGAGATTTTCAAAGAACTTTTGGATAACCTTTTTTATAATTTTGATTATTGTATCTTATCAAATGGGTTTCATGGCTCTAGATGATTGAACATTCGTTAGTGTCCATGAGATATAATAAAAAATATTCTTATAATTGTCCCCTCACTCTATTTTCAATTCTCTAGATCTTCGTTTACATTATGCAAATTTATCCAATCATGGTTATTTTATATAATTATGTTGATCGTCCATCTGATATTTCTTTCCTTTTAATTACATTTTTGTTTCATTGAACCTATGCAAAAGGTTAAAATTCATAAATTATTGAAATCGATAGAATTTTAGTGATCAGGCAATTCAAAGGGACAAAAATAAATTTATATTACTATTTCATTTATAATCTCGTGTTTGCACTTTGCAGTTGCATCCATCTTATCATGTATTATAAGTATGAATAAATGACCTCTTAATTTAACATGGGGGACATGCAGTGTATTTCTTTCGTTTGATGAGTGTCTGTAGTATTAAAGTAATCAATAAATTTGGATACATCGAACATATCAATAACTTGTCAGTTCATGAAAATGAGAGAAGTTCGATATTAGGAAATGTCATGTTTCTACACTAAACTAAAATAAAACAAGAGAGGTAGATAACAAGCAAATAAATAGAAAAATATTGTCTGACTCATAAACGCTAAGTTCTGCCGTTTGCTAAACCACTGTAAACATAAATGCCAGGAAAGATAAAAGCACGGACATCGTCATTAGCTTTCAACTTGTGATTTCATACTCCCCACGAAGAAAGAAAAATGAAATAGATGAGCATCATTTGTTTATATAGGTCATCTCAATATTTATCTTTATTTGATTTCTTCTACCCTTTGTCTTCGTTGATAGATTGTTAGTATAAATCTTCAGTCAATTATACATTCTTCATATATTGAAGTCCTTTAATTTGATTGGTGTCAGTGGTAGATAATGAGTGTAGTTTGGAAACTTAGAACATGTCAATAACTGGTAAAGTCGTAAAATTGAAAAAAGATGACTAATCTAAAAAAATAAAAAATAAATAAACAACCGGCTTAAAGGTAAAGAAATAGAATCGTATTGTATCACGCATAAGTTTGTAAATCTGCTCTTGCAGTTGAAACAAATATTCGATTAGTGTAATCACGTAGTTCTCATTCAAAATGGTCGAGTATGTAAGTAAGTCCTAACGATGAATATGTTGCATAAATGTTGGGGATTTCCATTAAAATTTCTTTTTTTTAATCATAGTGTTTGCTTTAGTACAAACTTGGATTATAAACGTTCATGAATGTATCCAAGCTCCAACTATAAACATGTATGGGTGTTGTATAAACTGTACCTCATAACGACATTAACTACTAACTATCTAGTTTGAAATTACTATTTTTAAAATATTTTTTAAGGTTACGGAATGTAATTGGATTTGATTTATTTACCTAACCTCGACGAGCAATAGTTGTAGTGCTTCGCGAAGAATAGATATTCGTGAGCAATGATAAAGAAATGTTTGCTAAACCATTGAAAACATAAATACCAGGTAAAAATAAGAGCATGGTCGTTGCCATGAGCACCATTCGTTTATATAGGTCATTATAATATTTTTCTGTATCTGCTTTCTTCTGCCCTTGGTTTTCGTTCATAGCTCGTAAGTATAACTTTTCATCCAATTGTGGCTTTTTCATATATTCTGGTCATTTAAGTTCTGCCATTCCATTTTGAAGTCTTAGTCTAATTGTAAAGTTACGTAGTTCATAAAAAAATTGTCATGAATAAGTTACTCATGTGATTCATAATCTTGATTTAACAACTTATATATACCTTTTAATAGATAATTATTAGGTGTAAAGGATTTAATTATTTTACTTAGTTGGATATGTTTTGTAGTTTTTTTAATTTGATCGGTGTCAGTGGTAAATAATGAGTGTTGTTTGAAAAAAATATAACATGTAAATAACTAGTGAATTCTTAAAATAAAAAATAAAATTTAAAAAAGCTTAACGAGCAGTAGCTGTAGCGCTTCGCTAAGAATACATATTCGTGCACAATGATAAAGAAATGTTTGCTAAATAATTGAAAACATAAATACAAGGTTAAAAAAAATGGTCAATGTCATTCCAACTGTTGATTTCATACCACCCGACGAAGAAAGAGAAATAAAAAAGATGGGCATCGATCGTTTGTATAGGTCTTTCTAATATTGATCTTTATCTTCTTTCTTCTGCAAATGGTTTTTGTTGATAGGACGTAAGTACAAATCTCTAGCCAATAATGACTTTTGTATATATTCTGGTCATCTTTCTGAATCGTTTTCCTTGTATTCACATTTCGCGATTCTTTAAAAAATAAGGAAAAGTTTATAATTCATGAAAATATGTATGAACCAAAAGGTTTATCATAACAAGAAAATATCTGAAAATGCTCATTTGATTCATAATCTTGATTTTTACAAATTATATATATCTTCTAGTTGATGATTATTATGTGTATAGGATTGAATTATTTTACTTAGATGGATATGTGCTGTAGTTCTTTAATTTGATTGGTGTCAGTGGTAAATAATGAGTGTAGTTTGGAAATATAGTACATGTCAATAACTAGTGAGTTCGTAAAATTCGTCAAATTATTATTCAATAAAATCTGAGATTGTATACTATTATCTAGATCTATTAAGAATAAATCATTGTCAAAATAATTCCATAAATTTGGGTAACAAAAAATCCAACGTTATGAGCGATAGTGTATATGTCTTGTATTGTATAATTTGTATGTGTATAGTATTGAATCATTTTACTTGGATGGATAAGTGTTGTAGTTCTTTAATTTGATTGGTGTCAGTGGTAAATAATGAGTGTAGTTGGGAAAAGAAGAACATGTCAATAACTAGTGAATTCTTACAATTTAGAAAAATATTTAACTTTAACAAGCAGTAGCTGTAGTGCTTCGCTTATATTAGATATTAGTGCACAATTAAAAAGAAGTGTTTGCTAAAACATTGAAAACATATTTATATACCAAGTATACAAAAAGAACATTGTCATTAAGGCTCCCAACTGATGATATCATACTACCCTACCAAAAAGAGAAATAAAAAAGATGGGCATCAATCGTTTGTATATGTTGTTCTAATATTGATCTTTATCTTCTTTCTTCTGCCCTTGGTTTTCGTTGATAGGACGTTTATACAAATCTCTAGCCAATTATGACTTCTGTATATATTCTGGTCATCTTTCTGAATCGTTTTCCTTGTATTCATTTTTTTCTGATTCTGTTAAAATTAAGGAAAAGTTAATAGTTCATGAAAATATGTATGAACCGAAAGGTTTATCATAACAAGAAAATTTTTAATTGAAAGATATCTGAAATTACTCATTTGATTCATAATCTTGACTTTACAACTTATATATATATATATAACCTTCACGAGCAGTAGCTGTAGTGCTTTGCTAAGAATAGATATTCGTGCACAATGCTAAAAAAATGTTTGCTTAACCATTGAAAACATAAATACCAGGTAAAAGTAAGAGCATGGACATTGTCATTCAGGCTTCCAACTGATGATTACATATAGGACCCCACGAAGAAAGAGAAATAAAAAGGATGAGCACCATTCGTTTATCTAGGTCATTCTAATATTTTTCCTTATCTTCTTTCTTCTGCCTTGGTTTTCGTTCATAGCTCGTAAGTATAAATCTTCAGCCAATTATATATTCTGGTCATCTTCCTAAATCATTTTCCTTGTATCCATATTTAATGCTTCATCGAAAAATATATATGACTGAAAGGTTTATTATAACCAGGACATTTTGAATTAAAAAAATACCTTACATTTCCTTTTTGATTCATGATCTCGATTTTACAGATTCAATTTATCTTGTAATAAATGATTATTATATTTTGAGGATTTAATTATTTAACATAGATGGAAATGTCATGTAGTTCTTTAATTTGATGGTTGTCGGTGGTAAATATTAACAATTAACCTATATGGACACAATAATGAAATTAAATAATGAGTGTCCTTTGGAAAAAAAAAGACCAAGTCAAATACCAGCGAAGACATTGAAGTGAGAAAAAGATACGATGAAAATTAATGACTAATTATCATTTAAAATGAAAAATTAAGAGAAGCACCTTGCACATATTAGAGAAATAATACATATTTTTTTTTTTTTTTTTTTTTTTTTTTGGGGGGGGGGGGGGGTTCGGAACAAGTTGGATTTGATTTATTTACCTAACTTTATTGATAAATAGCTGTAGTGCATCGCTAAGAATCGATATTCGTTTACCTTTATAAAGAAATGCTTGCTATACCATTTAAAACATAAATACCAGGTAGAAAAAAAGCATGACATTGTCATTAAGGCTTCAAGCTGATGATTTCGTTCTACCCACTAAGAAAGAAAAATGAAAAAGATGAGCATCATTCGTTTTTATAGGTCGCTTTAATAATGATCTTCGTCTGCTTTCTTCTTTCCTTGGTTTTTTCGATATCCTTTCTGATGGATGATTATTATGTGTATATCATTGAAATATTGTACCTAGATAGATATGGATTGTAGTTCTCTTTTCGGATTGGTGTCGGTGGTATATAATGAGTGTATTTTGGAAACATAGAACATGTCAATAACTAGTAAAGGCGTAACATTTATAAAAAATGACTAATTTAAAAAAAAAGAAAAAAAGATGAGTACTATTCATTTATATAGGTCATTCTACTATTTTTCTTCATCTGTTTTCTTCTGCCCTTGGTTTTCTTTAATAGGAGGTAAGTACAAATCTTTAGCCAATTATGACTTCTGTATATATTGTGTTCATCTTTCTGAATTGTTTTCCATTTATTCACATTTCCTGTTTCTTTTAAAAATAAGAAAGAGATTATAATTCATGAATATATGTATATATCAACCTAAATGTTTATCGTAACAAGGAAATGTTGAATTGACAAATATCTGAAATTGCTAATTTGATTCAGAATCTTGATTGTACAACTTTTATACATCTTCTAGTGGATGATTATTATGTGTATAGGATTGAAATATTTTACCTAGATGGATATGTGTTGTAGTTCTCTAATTCGATTGGTGTCGGTGGTAAATAATGAGAGTAGTTTGGAAACAGAGAACATGTCAATAACTAGTGAATGTATAAAATTTAGAAAAAAGACTTAAACTTTAACGAGCAGCAGCTGTAGTGCTTCGCTAAAAAAAAGATGTTCGTGCACAATGATAAATAAATGTTTGCTAATCCATTGAAAACATAAATACCAGGTAAAAATAAGAGCATGGGCATTGTCATGAGCGCCATTCGTTTATTTAGGTCTTTCTATTATTTTTCTTTATCTGCTTTCTTCTGCCCTTGGTTTTTGTTCATAGTTCGTAAGTATAACTCTTCATCCAATTATGGCCTTTTCATATATTCTTAATTATTTTCAAATTATGAAAGAGTTTATAATTCATTAATATATATATATACATATATATATATATCAAAATGAACCGAAAGGTTTATCATAACAAGGAAATGTTGAAATGAAAAAATACCTTAAATTGTTCATTTGATTCATAATCTCGATTTTACAATTCGTATTTTTTTCTGATGGATGATTATTATGTGTATATAATTGAATTATTTCACTTAGATGGATATGTGTTGTAGTTGTTTGATTTGATTGGTGTCGTTGGCAAATAATGAGTGTAGTTTGGAAACATAGAACATGTCACTAACTAGTAAAGGCGTAAAATTTATAAGAAAATGACTAATTAAAAAAAAAAAAAAAGATGAGTAATATTCATTTATATAGGTCTTTCTAATATTTTTCTTTATCTGTTTTCTTCTGCCCTTGGTTCTCTTTAATAGGAGGTAAGTACAAATCTTTAGCCAATTATGACTTCTGTATATATTCTGTTCATCTTTCTGAATTGTTTTCCATTTACTCACATTTTCTGTTTATTTAAAAAAATAAAAAAAAGTTTATTATTCATGAATATATGTAAATATCAACCTATGTGTTTATCATAACAAGGAAATGTTGAATTGAAAAATATCTGAAATTTCTCATTTGTTTCATAATCTTTATCGTACAAGTTATATATATCTTCTAGTGCATGATTATTATGTGTATAGGATTGATTTGTTTTACTTAGATGGATATGTCTTGTAGTTCTTTAATTTGATTG